AGTGCAGTGGCGCCATCTAGGGTCACTGCAAGCTCTGCCTCCTGGGTTCACGCCATTCTCCTGCCTCAGCCTCCCGAGTAGCTGGGACTATAGGTGCCCACCGCCACGCTCGGCTAATGTTTTGTATTTTTAGTAGAGACAGGGTTTCACCGTGTTAGCCAGGATGGTCTCGATCTCCTGGCTTCGTGATCCGCCCGCCTCGGCCTCTCAAAGTGTTGGGATTACAGGCGTGAGCCACTGCACCCGGCTGGCTACCATATGTCTTATGAGACAGCCAAGCTAGTATTTCAGTATCGAGTAGACCTAATCCATTGTTAACTATCCTCAGAAATAAATTCTTTTTTTTTTCTTTTGGAGGTTGGGTCTCCCTATGTTGCCCTGGCTGTTCTCAAAGTACTGAGCGCAAGCAGTCTTCCCACCTCAGCCTCCCACATAGCTGGGTTTACAGGCGAATGCCTCTGCACCCAGATCCTTATAATCATTAGGAAGAAAGAGTTGTGGGGGGGAGGAGGATACTTAGGAGACCTTTTATGATAATAAGGGAGGAAACACTGAGAAGATCAAGAGTAAGTTATAGAAGCTGTAGCTATTGCCTGAGCTCCATTAGAAATTTGATAGCTAAAGGGAATTAGGGCTGTTTAAAATGTCACTCTTTTATCTGTCATTTGACATGATGTGTGACCTTTTTAAATAGAAATGTTTTCCCATGTTGTTTTGACAGGGACTTTTGTACAATAAATACTTACACTACAGTACACAATATCTGTAGTTGCCATGGCAACTCAGCATAGCATGCTGATGCTCCAAAGTTGTACAAATAGAATCCTAGCCTGAGAATGTTTATTAAGTAGTCAAATGATGTCTGTCAACAATAAACTAAAGCAAAATTCTCAAGAAAACATAGCCTGTTAAAATAACATTTGCAGATGGCTGAACAACTATATAGATCGTTGATTTTTTTTTTAAAGAAAAAGAATGCTAATTAATTAATAATAGAAAAGATTACATTTCATTAACCTGAGAGTTGGAACCAGGGATATAGAGAGGATGTTAGACTATTACTTAAATCTAAACATGATCTACTTTCATTTGTTCAAATTTATCAATTTAATAAAGTAAAACCCTGTTATGTGTTAGATCTCTCTGTCAAAGAAAAGTCATAAAGTTGAGAGCTACAGTTAGGTTACAAAGTGAATTAGCCCATGCTTGTTCAAAATACTACAGTAATTTTAAAATACTGGGCCAGGCATAGTGGCTCATGCTTTTAATTCCTGCACTTTGGGAGGCTGAGGCAGGAGTTCCAGATGAGTGTGGGGAATATGGCGAGACCCCATCTCAATTAAAAAATAAAAATAAAAACAATTCTGAGAAGACAATTTAACGCAAGTACCAATTTTAAAAACACATGTGCAGCTGGGCGTGGTGGCTCACGCCTATAATCCCAACACTTTGAGAGGCTGAGGCGGATGGATCACGACGTCAGGAGTTCAAGAACAGCCTGGCCAAGATGGTGAAACCTCGTCTCTACTAAAAATACAAAAATTAGCCAGGCAGGGTGGTGGGTGCCTATAATCCCAGCTACTTGGGAGGCTGAGGCAGAGAATTGCTTGAACGCGGGAGGCAGAGGTTGCAGTGAGCTGAGATCGTGCCACTGCACTCCAGCCTGGGTGACAGAGCAAGACTCCGTCTCAAAAAAAAAAAAAAAATCACATACCCTTTGACAGAAAATTTGTCTTACAGAACATTTCACATATACGCAAAGATAAATGTACAAAGAATTTATACCAAAGCATCAGTAAAATGGTAAAAGTTAGAAACAAAGTGAATCACTATAAAATGAGAAGAAGTATTGAATTATGGTCCTAAGAAGAGCTAACCTGATGGTATCCCAATCCAATAATAGAAGATGTGTATAGAAGATGGCTATGATGGCACTGGGAGGGCAAGGTGGAAAGGGCCAAATAAGCTGGAGAACAGAGCATGTAATCCATCCCCCTGAGCTTACCCTGGGAGCTTGTCCACTATCCTGTTATAAGTCTGCCTACCTATGCCCAATCATCTGTGGCTTTCCTTTGCCAAGGAAGTCTATTCAATTGGAAAAAATTCCCCTGTCATAGTAGCACTTAATATTACCTGGAGGTGTAGGAGTAAGGGAAACTTCATTTATCTTATTTCCTGGGGACTTAGCCCCCAGAGTGTTAATATTTCCTCCTCTCCAAGAAGCTGAGGCAGCTTCTGCTCTCTGTCTTCTTGGCCACTGGTTCCAAATCTTTCTTTAGGCACCACCCTCTTTTGTTGTATATGTGTCCTTTGCTCCTTCCATGGATTCCCATGATGTGAAAGATTTTATCTGCCAAATAGTAGCATAATTTTTCCCTTACCAAATTAACAAAGCCTTCCATAACTGTATACACTAAAGTCAGTGCCCTCAAGGTTGGGGAAATCATGTCTTCAGAGTGTACTGTGCTAAACACTTTACATGAATTATTTTATTTAGTTTTTAAAACAATCCCATAAGGTCAGTTTTATTTACATTTTACAGAAAAGGAAGGAATATTCTGAGAATCACATAGTTAAGTGGAAGAACCACTTATATAAAAGAAGTGTATGAAAATGCATAGAAAATAACCTGGGAAATTATTTCTGGGAGATGGAGAGTGCTGAAAAGGTTTCAGTTTTTACTCT